GCTTTCTCCTCACACAATTCCCACCATTATTCCATTCTCCACCTTCAAAATGAGAAGGTGCAAGAGTCCTTAGAAAAGTTATGCCTTTAAAGTTTTCCAAGTTGTTGATGGTTTTCAAAACAGTCCTAATTGCCTTTTGGTAGCCATAACTAGATGGGAGGTCAGTAACATTTGGAAGTCCACAGTACCTGCATAGCGGGTTAATTTCACATAAGGTAACTGAATTTTATCCATTATAATAGTAAGTCATAAAACTATTGTATGCCATATCAAAGTAACTTAATCTTATTTACTATACCAACAAAGTCACTAAACTTTACCAACTACAGCAGTAATGTCATAGGACATTGTCACGTTAAAGTAATTTTGAATTACCTCTATAACAGTAAAGTCGACAAACTTTATCCATTATAGTAGCAAAACTTATCCATCAAGATGATTTTACTGCAATACTGGGTAAAGTTTTGTGACTTTACTGTTAACTTAACCTTATCTGTTATAACAACAAAGTCACTAAACTTTACCAACTACAACAGTAATGTCATAGGACCTTGTCACGTTAAAGTAACTAACATTGACTTACTATAACAGTAAAATCGGCAAACTTTATCCAATATAGTAACAAAACTTACCCATCTAGTTAATTTTACTGCAATACTGGGTAAAGTTTTGTGACTTTATTGTTAATTTAACCGTATCTGCTATAACAAAGTCACTAAACTTTACCAACTACAACAGTAATGTCATACAGAGGCGGACCTGTGCAATAAGTAGAGGGGTCACCGGCACCCGTAAAGTTTGGAAAAAATTCCATATATACATGTATATATCCTTAGAAAATAGTGATATGTTAATAGTGGGTACCCATATACAAACCATATTTTGATTGAATCGAAAAGTGCATCCGCGACCTTCAAATTCTAGATCCGCCCTTGTCACGTTTAAGTAACTGAAATTTACCCACTATAACAGTAAAGCCGGTAAACCACTGTAGTAGCAAAAGTTACCCATCAAGTTATACTGCAATACTGGATAAAATTATGTAACTTTACTGTTATATAGTAGGTAAGTTCAATTCCTTTAATATGACAAGAGATAATTTTACGATTTTATTATTATAGCGGGTAAGGTGAGTGAGTATAGTTAAAATTAGGTGTACCTGCAGCCAACTAGTTCGTTTTTCTCGTAGTATACACTGCACCTAGTAAACCAATGGCCAGCATTGAGGATGACATAGTCAAATTCTTCAATTTGGTTTGCCCATTTCTCATCAACTTCGTCAAGATAAAGATTGAAGAGTCCAGTTTTAGTTGGACCATCAGAGTCTGTATCTTTCATTCTGACCAAGAATGGTGACCAATATGTTGCTAAGGTAAAATTGTAACTCGTATATTTCCACCTTTTGAAGTTTTCATCTGGAGTAGTAGAGACATCAATTGGATATACCGCCTGTAAAAATAAAAGAAATCAAGAAAAACAATTGAAAAAGCCAAGAATTCTCACATAACAATAGGGTCATGTAACCATCAATATATTTTAATATATTATAACAAGTAATTTACTTTATTTTTTAGGCACTAATTCAACTTAATATGAACGATTACCTATAACTGATTTTCAGATGATCGAAAAATTATTTAACGCTGTCGGTTAATTGAAGTTAAACCTTTTTACTGAAATAGTTAATTTATATACACTAATAGTATAATTTTGTTTTGCATTATTCCACTCATTATAGGTAATTATTTGTTGTTATCTTTTAATGACTTGATAGCGTAAAATTTCTAGAACAATATCGATGTATAGAAGTTAAACTCAACATTAAAAGAGTGTAGCTTTTATATATCCATCAACAACGTAAAATTTGATTACACAATTCTACACATCATAAATGGTTGCGTATAGTTATTTTGTAGGAAGTCGGAAAATGTAAAAACTCGTTAACACTGTCAATAAATAAAAGTTAAATTCTTGTACTAAAACGAATATTTAGACACATGCAGAAGCACATGCGGTGTTTAGCAGGCCTCGACTTAAAAAAGAGAAAGAAAAGCACCGATCTTGTTTATGTCAGGATGTAAAATATATAGAAAAACCTGCTGATCCCTGGCTTATTCTAGAGCTTAAATATTTTTAAATTAACCAAAAACCATTTTTATAAGGAGAAAAAGATAAAAAGACCATGGTGTTGGACCTTGGTTGTCAATGAATTTGTCAACAAATCTCTGAAAAAAGACAGTTATCCTCTCATTTCTTAACATTTCTCGAGGGAATAACATGTTAGGAACCCACGTTGTCATGCTTGGATTCTATCACAAGTTTGTCATAACTGGTGAGAACTTCGGATCTACTAAGCTAACCAGTCCTGATAGGATTTTACAAGTATATAGTCTCTGAGTTAGAAAATAATTTTTTGCATCATAATTATATCTTAACATGTTACCAATGTCTCAAAAGGTTTTTTCGGGATGCACTTAGGGTTTACCCTTTGGGCGGGGCACTTGCAAAACACATTGAGGTTTACGGGTAAGACTTAGTTCTGTAAGGTTTATTGTCTCAAGCGCCCAACTATGTGCCTTAAACACACCAATTATTCGAAGCTCGCTTAATAATTCTTATTATGTGTAGAATTTTCTAATTAGTACAATTGATTCCCCAAATTCTTTTAACAAATGAATGATAGATTAGAGTTCTATTCATCTATAGATATGAAGATTGAGAGTAACTTAAATAATGAACCATAGAATTATAAAATTTAACAATTGAGAACATGGTTAACANTATATATATATATATATATATATATATATATATATATATATACTTATATCTCACTTGCTGGTCTTAGTTCATATGTCTCTCAAATTTTCAGTCTTTTATTATTTTGATATTTGAGAGTAATTTTATATTTATTCATGAAGGAGTAATATTTTAAATTATAGTACTTATAACGTTTATTGATTATTTACTTTTTAAGAGGAGAAATGTGTAGTTTGATAGTATTTAATAAGAAATTATAAATAATTGTTTGAATGCTAAGATGTCATAGTAGATTTGTGTTTCATAATAACTTTAATTAATACTATTGCAATGCTTATATTTTAAAAACATGCTAGATTTTTTATTTTTTTTAAACTTTTAATGTATAATTTATATTTTTTGTATTATTATATTATTTAATTTACTCCTAGATATGTATTAAACAATTCACTAAATATCTATTAATTTTGATTGTAAATAACAATTAATACTATATTAACTTGAAACCGCCGGTAAAAACTCATAAACTTTAAACTAAATTTGCCTCTGTTCTGATATGGTTGTGAAGGTGAAAATGCAACACGACAAACTCTATACTAGCACTCTACAAGATTCCATTGTCGTAACTTTCTATTTAAAGTGAGAAGTACTTGTCCAAAAATTTGTTACCAATAGGAAAAACTATTTAACCCTTAAGCTTCTTGTAGTACTGTGTTTTTTTTTTTTTTTTTTTTTTTTTTTTTTTTTTTTTTTTTTTTTTGATGAAATAACCACTTTAAGAATTACGATGACTAGCTACATGATTGTTAATTTCGTATTCACAAGAAAAGAAATAATATAAATTTCAGGTTCAAACCTTAATTTCACCTAAACCTTGAAAAATGTCAATCTTTGGTTAACAAACCTTCCTCCACATCGAACCACAAGCTATGTGGACTTAACCCAAGATAAGCAAAGAAAAGAAAATAAAAAAGAAAAGAAAAAGAAAAAGAAAAATGCACATCCATTTTTCTTCGATCTAACTAGAGTTTCAAGGAACAAGGTGGTTTATAGTATTTTACAAAGTATTTTTTACTGTCTTATAATTATCTGTTTTGTAAAGTTTATGCACATTTTTTAGTAAATACATTTAATTAATAGCCTTAATCATAAGATCAATACTCGCTTAATAAACATTTCACTAATTAGAGAAGTAATGGTGGATTTGCAAAAGCAAGATAACGCAATGAACGTACAAATACTATATGCAGAATGGAAGGAAAGTTGAGGCTTTAAGCAAATGAACCACAATAATAAGAACTATAGAGAAGAAAATGGTACCTGAGACAAGAGACATATCAAGGATTGCATTTGATTTCTTCCCACTGAATCTCCAACAAATGCCAATGACTTGTTCCTCAACATATCCAAGAATTGATATGGATTGAAGATAGGCAACTCACATCCCTTGGGCTTCCACCTGTTGGATATACAAATCAGATCCTGTATCGTTTTATTTGAAATTGAGGCGTAATTGTTGTTGTACATATATCATTTTATTCATGAACGATACATGTACATTGTGATACATGTACTAGACTAAACACACTATACCTCCATTTCAAGAAGTCAGTATCAGGCCTTCCATATTTCATGCAATTTTGATGTTCGTGGATAGCCCAACAAGTCGTGTTCGTGTAATATGGACCATTTGGATTCGGAATCCACTCTCCTGTGAAAATATCACATGTTTCATCTTCTGTAAATTTTATCTCCATCTCTTCCATATGATATGTTGGTGATTTTTTAGACTGATGGTTTACTAAATCTTTGGCATGATACCATTTTGAAGTGTGGTGAAGAGGGATAATACCTAGAATGATGAATGTTAAAGCTAAAAGTATGAATATTTTTGGGGTTCTTTGAGATGCATTAATGGAGTTTTTCCCACAAGGGAACTCCATTGATTGGAGCTTCATCAATAGAGGATTGAAAAAGGGAAAGAAGAGATGGGAGGAAGTAGAAAGTTAACTATTAAATTATATACTTTGTGGAAATGGTATCAAGAAATTAAACAAGGACTAGTTGGCACTGATATGAGACACAACCAACGTGCCAGTTATATTATAATGAATTTAAATTATATACCCTTAGGTGTAAGAAATTTTTACATCACGAGGTCATAAAGTTTTATTATCAAGATTATAAAATTTCTTTATATTATGAATGGTTACACTAAAGCCAATCGCAAGAATTAATCGTACTAAAACAACACATTTTCCATAATTTAAATAAAAAAATTATTCAAACAAAAACAAATATTAGAGAGTTTTCCTCAAAGAATCTCATGCCAGAGGTGAAGCCAGTATTTGAAGCTTATGGGTTCTGAACTTGCCATAGCTTTTATAGGTCATCTTAGTTACTGAGTTTACAATTAAATATTTATGCATATTTAAGAATTTTCTAATACCAATACAAAGTCAAAGCAAATGTAATTGGGTTCACTCGAATCAGTAACTAATGCTCTAGCTCCGTCCTATCTCCTATTGCTCCATCTTCAACATATGAAACAGGAAATCATTCCAAGAATCAATAGGACCAGGCAAACACCAATGCACACAGTCTTTGTTCTTCACTTTCTCAGGCTGCAGATGCCCATATCTACTTGGATGACCATCTGGTCTCAACAACATGGCTTGTGTTACATCCAACAATCTAAACTTCTTCCCCTTTATCTTCCCTTCCTTCTCAGCAACCCAAAATTCTTCCACTTGTGACTTATAAAACTCCAAATTCAAACCCTCCAAAACTATTTCATTGCTTGTAAATGGCCTTTTCCTCAAACAATCCCCACCTGTATATACTTATGGTCAGTGAACTTTATCCACTAAAAAGATAAAGCCGCGAAACAATTTTTTGTCACATTAAAGTACGTAATTGAACTTTATTCCACTACAACAATAAAGTCATTAAACTTTACCCAGTAAAACAATAACAGTAATATCACTATTCTTAGTCACACAAAAGTAACTGAACATTAATTACTCACTATACCCGTAAATTCAATCACTAAACTTTACGCATTATAATGACAAAACCTACCTATTAAGGTGACTTTAATTTACCGCTATCATGATAAAGCCCCTCTATCTCACAAGGTAGGGGTAAGGCCTGTATACATACTGCCCTCCCTAGACCTCATAGTGTGGGATAAGACTGGGTATGTTGTTTTTGTCATGATAAAGCCTAACGACTTTACTGTTTTAGTAAGTAAAGTTTCATTATTGTTACAGTTGGAAAAAAGGGCAGCCAGGTGCACTATATAAGTTCTCACTATGCGCGGTCCGGGGAGGGGCCGAACCACAAGGATATATTGTACACAATCTTACCCTGCATTTCTGCAAGAGACTGTTTCCACGACTCGAACCCGTAACCTCCTGGTCACATGGCAGCAACTTTACCAGTTACGCCAAGGCTCCCCTTCGATTGTTCAGTTGGAAAAATTAAGCGAAAATACGTAAAATGATCTGACCTGTATACCATTCTCCACCTTCAAAATGAGCAGGTGCAAAAGTCCTAACAAAAGTTGTACCCTTAAATTTCTCTAAACTGTTGATGGCTTTTAAAGCTGCCCTAAATGCCATCGTGTACGCATAATGAACTGGGAATTCAGTAACATTTTTTAGTGAACATCGCCAGCAGCCAACTACTTGATTTTTCTTATAGTATAATCGATTAAACCAGTGGCCAGCATTAAGGATGATATAGTTGAACTCATTGATTTGGCTTGTCCAATTCTCATCAACTTGGTCAAGATAAATGTTGAAGACTTCGCTGTCCCTATGACCATCCAAGTTTGTTTTAACCAAGAGTGGTGACCAAAATGTTGCGATGGTAAAGTTGTATGATGTATATTTCCACCTTTTGAACTTGACATCAGGAGTGGGAGAGATATAGATTGGATGTACTACCTGTAAAAAACGAAAATTATCAAATAGGGAAATTAGTGTCTTAATAAATATTATCTTCATGTTCTATTGTAAAGCCACATAAATTTTAGTAGTTAATTCAGGCTAAAAACGAGCTTAAGGGAGTAGTTGAGTTAGCCTATTCCAATAAGACCCATGGCATATAGGTCCTGCCATGCATGCCAATATTTGCTATGTAAAAGTCAAGTCGGGAAGAGAAAAATTTAATTGGATTTGAGTTTTAAGAGCTCTAGAGAGAAGAATTCACGACCACATTTCAAGGTATGTGTTGAAGGATTGAATCACCAAGCCGATACTTAACTATAGTTAACTATTATTGTAATCACTAACTAGGTTGGTTAGTTAGTTAATAAAGGTAGTTAGTAGTTAGTTGTTAGTTAGAAGTACATATAAATATCTGTACTCTTAGTTTGTAAACACACGATTTCATTTTATTTTCTTCTGCAACTATTCAATGAAACAATGCTTGTTTCTCTTCTCTCTTGCTGCGTTAATCTTCTCTCCACTCAAGCTTTAGATCAGTTGTCTATGACAGCTAACATGGTATCAAAGCCATCGGCAATGATCTAGGCTATCGTCGTTCTTCGATTCTCTTCACTGCTTCTAGCTTACTTCAATTCTGCAAAATTAGGTGCAGAATTGTCTTAGAGTAATCGCAAAATCGAAACTAGGGGTTGCATTTTTTCTTCAAAGCTGAAGTCAATAATGGCGATTGGCACTGAAGACGACAATACAACAAATACACTAGCTAATGGCACTTTTGGCAACTTTGCTCCAACTGGTTCATCATTTTCCTCTATCGATCATAATCACCCACTGTACCTACAACCAACTGACACACCAGGTAGTTCTCTAGTCTCTTTTCAATTGACTGGGTCTGATAACTATGCCTTGTGGAGTCGTGCTATGAGAATTGGTCTGCTAGGCAAAAGTAAGCTAGGTTTTGTTGATGGAAGGTTTCCAAAATCAAAGTTCGAGCCAGAACTTCATCATCTGTGGGAAAAGGTTAATGCTGTTGTTTTGTCATGGATACTGAATGTTGTTAGGCCTGGTTTGCTGAGTAGCGTATTATATACATCTAGTGCTCACAAGGTGTGGGAAGATTTAAAATAAAGATTTGACAAAGTGAATGGCTATAGAGTTTTGTTTCTTCATAGAGAAATGCACAATTTGACTCAAGGAACCATGACTGTAGCAGACTACTTCTCAAAATTGAGAGATTTATGAGATGAGTTTGATGCTCTAATGCCTTCCCCAGGGTGTCCGTGTCCTAAGTCTAAACAATATGCTCAGCACTTTGAGGCTCAGAGACTGTTGCAGTTTCTTATTGGTTTGAATGACTCCTATGCACAATCTAGAAGTAAAATTATAATGATGACTCCAGTACCTTCCATTAACAAGGCCTATTCACTACTTGTTGATCAAGAGAGTCAAAGAAATTTTGTAAGCATGGCTCAGGTTACACAGCTTGCAGAAGGTCTAGAGAGCACTGTTTTGTATGGAAATAAAGGTCCAAATGTAACAAGTGGAGGTTATAGACAGAGAACGAACAATGTTCAGTGTGAATATTGTCATTACAAAGGGCATACTAAAGAAAATTGTTTCAAGCTTATAGGCTATCCACCAGATTTCAAGTCTAAGAAGAAAGGAAGAGCACCTGCACTCTATGCTAATTTTGCAGGTAATCCAAACTTTGCAGTAGAGGAAGAGCACATCAGCTGCGCAAATCAGCTGGACACTGGATCTCATCATCAAAAGGGATTCATTTCAGTAAACCCTGTGACACCACAAATGACACAGACACAACCATTTTCTCTCAGGAGCAATACCAGCAGATTGTTCAAATGCTCTCCAAAGGAAGTGCAGAAGGTTCTAGCTCATCTAGCAAAATAGCTGCTGCAGGTATTCTAACTCATGTGAATGCATTTTGTCTCAGTGTATCAATAGTGATTGGATAATTGACATTGGAGCCTCAAATCACATGACATCTAGACTTGAGTTACTACAAACACATAAGTCACTTCCTACAACAGAGAAAAATAAAGTTCATCTTCATAATGGTAATGCAGTGTTAGTTTCACACACAAGAAGTACATCTGTGTTGGATAATCAGAAGATTTTTATGTGCTATACATTCCAGACTTTAAGTTCAATTTACTCTCAGTCTCACAACTCACCAAGGAACTAAAGTGTATGGTAGGCTTCTTTCCTGACTTTTGTATTTTTCAGGATCTTTACAGTGGTCAAGTGAAGGGGTTGGTAAAGAGGAACATGGACTTTATGTGCTTAAAGGAGGTATCTCAGAACAATTTTTAGTTCAAATGACAAATAAAAGTGCATCTACAGTTAATGCTCTCCCTCTTGCAGGCTCAAGCTGTTTGTGGCACATGAGATTGGGACATGCTCCCTTAGATGTAATAAGAAGAGTAGACAAGTTAAATAAGCTGACTGCTAGTGACAGTCACAACTGTACTGTATGCCCAATAGCCAAGCAAACTAAACTTCCTTTTCAGCTTAGTAATACTGCAACTAAGTCCATTTTTGAACTAGTTCACCGTGACATTTGGGGGTCATACAGATGTCCTACTCATGATGGAAGAAGGTTATTTGTCACTATAGTAGATGACTATAGTAGATATAATTGGATATTTCTGTTAACCTCGAAGTCTGAAGCTTATGTTGTGCTAAAGAATTTTCTTGTTCAAGTTCAAAATGTATTCTCTACAACAGTTAAGACTATGAGAACTGATAATGAAAGTGAGTTTTTAAGTACTGATTTCAAAAGCCTGCTATCTAGTCTTGGTATTATGCATGAACGTTCATATGTTTATACACCCTAACAAAATGGAGTTGTAGAAAGCAAACATAGAACTATTCTTAATATGGCAAGGGCACTCAGATTTCAAGCTTCTGTTCCTTTAAAGTTTTGGGGTGAATGTGTTACTACTGCTGCATACATACTGAACAGACTTTATTCTAAAGTGATTGACTACAAATCACCCTTTGAGATGCTTTATTTGCATTCTCCCTCTCTGCCTCACTTAAGAGTTTTTGGTTGCCTATTTTATGCTTCCACTCCTAGAGTACTAGACAAGTTCTCACCTAAGGCTATTCCTACTGTGCTTATGGGATACTTCAACACAAAAGGGTTATTTTCTGTATGAATTGCACTCAAAAAAATTTCTAGTAAGCAAAAATGTCATATTCAAAGAAGATGTTTTTCCTTTCAAACATGTCAAGTCATATGGCAATCCTGTGTTTCCTGTTTTGGGTTTACTCTCCCCAGTGGTTCATGAGAGTCCTACAACACCAGCTACTTCAATATCATCATCCTTGAATTCAGAGATTGACCACTCCTCAGGCATTGAGTTACAACAGAGATCTGATGCACCTCCTTCACAAGAGGAGCATATGCAGACACTTGACAACTTTGAGCCTAATGCTGCACTTGATAATTCTGAACCTTCTGCTGAACTTCATGTCTCTGATGCAGTCAGTGATGAACCTCCCACAGGTTGTAGGAGATCTTCCAGACCAAGCAAGCTTCCTATTTGGCTACATGATTATGTCACAAAGACTAAAGGTACCAAGTGCAACTTCCCTATCTCTGTACATGTGAACTATAGTCATCTCTCCCCTACTTATAGACAAACAATCTCAGCTCACTCAGCAGTTTCAGAACCATCTTCCTTCAAGGAAGCTGCATCTGATCCTAGGTGGATAGAAGCCATGCAACTTGAGCTACATGCCTTAGAGGATAACAATACATGGTCTGTTGTAGGCCTACCTCCTGGCAAGACACCTATTGGTTGTAGGTGGGTGTTCAGGATCAAATATAAGGCCACAGGTGAAGTTGAGAGGTTCAAGGCTCGACTAGTAGCTAAGGGTTATAGTCAAAGAGAAGGTCTAGACTACAGAGAAACTTTCTCACCAGTGGGCAAGATGGTCACAGTGAGATCTGTTGTTGTTGTTGCTGCCTCAAAGCATTGGCACATTTATCAAATGGATGTACATAATGTTTTTCTCAATGGTGACCTAGATGAAGAATTATAAATGGTTTTGCCTGAGGGGTTTGCTAGACAGGGGGAGTCTCATAAGGTCTGCAAACTCCATAAATCCTTGTATGGCCTCAAGCAAGCACCCAGGCAGTGGAATCTAAAGCTTACAGAAGCACTAGTACATATGGGGTTTCAACAGAGTCACTACGATTATTCTCTGTTTGTCAGAAGAGTTGGGGATGTTATTGTGATCATACTTGTGTTTGTAGATGATCTTTTAATTACTAACAGCAACCATAAGCTGCTATGTGATACAAGTCTGGATATTCAAGGCAGGTTCAAAATGAAGGATCTGGGAGAACTAAAGTTCTTTCTAGGAATTGAATTTGCAAGGTCAAACAAGGGGATCCTAATGAGTAAGAGGAAATATGCTTTAGAGTTGATATTTGAAGCAGGCCTCAGTGGAGCAAAGCCAGCTAGCACACCTATGGAGCTCAACCAAAAACTGACCACTGTAGAATATGATCTATCCTTTAAGAAAGGAAATGCCACTGCTGATGAAGTGCTAAGAGATCCTGGTATCTATCAAAGACTGGTTAGGAAATTGCTGTATCTAACTATGAGCAGACCTGATATCTCCCTTATAGTACAGGTCTTGAGTCAGTTCATGCATTGTCCTAGAATCTCCCATATGGAGGCAACATCAAGAGTAGTGAGATATATAAAGCAGGCACCTGGTTTTGGATTACTTATGCCTACAGAAGACACAAAGAATCTGACTGCCTACTGTGATTCTGATTGGGGAGCTTGTGTACAAACAAGAATATCAGTAACTAGTTATCTGGTGAAGTTTGAAATGCCTTGGTATCCTGGAAATCCAAGAAGCAAAGCACTGTCTCCAGAAGCTCAGCTGAAGCAGAATTCAGGAGCATGGCTTCCTGTGCAGTAAAGATCACTTGGTTGATAGAGTTATATATAGAACTA